CCTAACAACAGCAATCAGTTCTCTTGCTTCAGGTTGCAAGGTAATCATTTGTGAATACCAGGAAGGGATTTTTCTTCAGTGTAGACCCCCCACTGTACAGTTGGACAGGTGTGCTAGAAGGGTTTCTGCTTTCTTTGATAGCATCCATTGAGGCTGCTGCAATGGAACAGTAAATGATCCACGTGCGTGTGTATTTCAATGCAACAGAAGAAATGTACTAGGATTTGCAGCACTGTTATTATTTGTACTGCAGTAACAATGCCCAGAGGCCACAATCAGGACCTGAGTTCCATTGTGCTGTATGGTGAAGGCCTTGTCTGCACTAGAAGGGTTTTGCTGGTATAAACCAGTAAAACACTCCTAGAGTAGACATATTATACTAGCATAAAAGTGTGTTTGCCTGGATAGTTTATTCTAGTTCAGGGAACAAAACAAGTTATTCAGGCAAAAGTGCTTTTATGCTTTTACACTAGGGGTTTGGCTGGTATAGCTACGTTGATAAAAATCACACCCATAACCACCATAGCTATGCCCAGAAAACTTTTAAGGGTACTTATGCTTGAAGACAGGGTCTCTGCATCAAAGAGTTTAGAATCTCGTTTGGGACAACATGAGAAGTGGATGGAAGAGACAATAGGATGGGAATGGGAAGGGTGGACAAGGCTAGCTGGCTTGTATGCTGTAAAGGGTAGGGGGGAAGTAAGGGACTGATTCCTCACTGCTTAACTCCAGTTCTAGGTGACAGTACATGGATTGATTTTGATGGAGTTATGGGAGTGAAGCAAGGCAGTGGTGAATCAGGCCCTGAGCTAGTTATAGGAACAAGCTTCACCCAGAAACAGGCACTGGAGCCTTTTCTATAGGAGGTATATTACACCAGAGGCGCTTCTGTATAAGATTAAAGTTGCTGCCTCTGCTGTACTGGAAAGAAAACAGAGGAGCCAGTTCCATCATTGTTTGGTGGTGACGCCCAGCTATTTAAATCCCCTTGGGCTATTAGAGAGACAAGGTGGATGAGGTAATATCTTTTATTGGACCAACTTCTGCTGGTGAAAGAGAGGAGCTTCCCAGCTACACAGAGCTCTTCTCCAGGTCTGGGAAAGGGTCCCAGTGAAGTACAAGGTGGAACAAATAGAAGATGTGCTAACGACTTCCACTAAACGAAGGGACCACTCAAGATGAAGTGGGCCGTTGACATACTTGTGCATTATGGACCAAGCAACCACCTTTTGTTTGATTACAAGTTTTTCTAGAGGGGAACCCCTGAGGACGAGATGATCAGCACTTCAGCTTTAAGAGCTAAACCGCTTTCAGTCTGTGGCGGCTGGCAGGACGGGCTTCCTTACCAAAACTCCCCATCTACCGCTCATTTTAAAAACCTGTCTCCCCACACTTTTTTTTCCTGGTGAGCACTTGCCTCCTGCTATTAAACCGCAGCCTTTCAGACAGCTGCTGGAGGATCCGGCGTTACCCTGGGATTGCTTGCAAATCGCCTATAACCAGTGCTTCACGTGGCTTGCCCCTAGCAGAATCTACTAGTGAGCTCAGCTGGAAAAGGAAAGCAAAGCCCCTCTCCAAGTGTTTGCTAAGAAGTATTTCTCAGAGCAGCCGCAAGAGGCTCCTGCAGCCAAGGAAGAATCGGGCAAGTAGCAGCTTTTCCTTGTCACCAGAAGAAGGAGAAGCAGCGGGATAATGTTACACTCCTGCCCGTGAGCAGGAGAGAGCCACTTAGCTCTAGGACACATTTCCCTCGCCCCTGGGGTAGAGTGACATCAGTCTGGGTTTCCGTATCCGCTGCTCCCAAAGACGAACTCTTCAGCACGCGTTGGAAGTGGGACCCTGCAGCTCTGTGTGACTTGCAAGTATCGATCGTCTCCTATTGTTCCGGACATTTCTGTAGCTGTACAGTTAACCATCCCCCCACTCGCAGACCTGGACAAACCTACAGGAGGCAGCCCAGGAGATGCCGCGCCCACTAACCGGCTGCGGCTCCCCCGGAGCTGGCCACGCCGCAGGTGCTGAATTTGGGGATAGGCGCTGGGACTCGATAACAGCGAGCGGAGGCTGCTCATGCGCATACAAACAACACTTGCGAAACTCCCCATCACAAATGGAAATCCCCGGACAGACAGCCTGAGCCACATATGATAGAACATCCGCCTGTCCTCTTCCAGCTGGGACACCAGTCTAGCAAGGTCTCGCGCCAACTTTTCCCGATTTCACTGCTGTGAATAATTGCACACAATGTTGTATCCAGCTCCGGTGCAGGTTTTTCTGAGCAGTGTGTCCGCTTTAGCAGGCGTCCTCGGACAGTCTGCTACGATGCAATTTCCTTATGTCCTTAGAGCTGGCAAAAGTGTGGCTGGTATTTGTAAAACCGTTGTTTATATAACCCGCTTGCCTCTCTTCCCAAATCGCCAGGAACGTTAAGGTGGGAGTTTAAGATGAACTTTAAATTTAGATAATATACTTTCCAATAGGGAAGACAAATGCATGTATATTATATACCATATGCTACATTGTTGAAGGAAGAGCCACCTTTCACTGAGACCTAAGATATCAATAGTTCCGTTTAGGAGCAATGAGTTATGCAAAGGTACTAAATCAATTCCTTCAATAACATACCTTTATAAATCTACCTTAAACTGTTTTAGACACCTGAAATATGGTCATTTATCCGAAAAAAATTGTTGATAATTGCAGATAACCTTTCAAATGAGCATATCAAAGCATCGCAAAAGAGGCTCTTCATTGATATAAACATTTCAAAGCCCTGCACTAGGACATAGGCAGTATGGTGCATTTTAGAGCACTGAAAATGAAAATAAAGCTTTCCTTTGAACTTCTGATCCCTCTTGTTACAAAGAACAGGAGGTTCCACAGTTAGCCTGGATTCCCCTGCTGGCGATATGAGAGAGATACAGATCTGATAACAGACGATTAATAATAATTTGCATTCAATGCAATTAGATAAAGTCAACACGTAACAACTAATGGAACCTATAGTTTCATTTGTCCTATTATACAAGAAATGTGCATCATTGGAAGTTAAGTGCCCGGATCACGGTGGATTTCCTTTAAGCTGTATCATTCCAATAATAAATAACTCCGGGAACATAAATCCTTCTATCAGGGGGTAGCCGTGTTAGTCTGTACCTACAAAAACAACAAGGAGTCTGGTGGCACCTTAAAGACTAACAGATTTATTTGGGCATAAGCTTTCGTGGGTAAAAACCTCACTTCTTCAGATGCATCTGTTAGTCTTTAAGGTGCCACCAGACTCCTTGTTGTTTTTTGTAAATCCTTCTAGTTATCTCTGTAACTATTTTTTAGACTTCACATTACAAGTTATTCTGAGCACAAGATTACATTTTAATGTATAACTCTTTTTTTCATTTAATGTCGTTTATGATCACTTAGAAGCCTTGGAGGAGGGAAAGGAAGAAAATATGCCTGATGTACTTTCACAACAAAATGAATATATAATGTATTTTTATCAGAATTTCTTGTTTCCATATTTGTGTAATGTAAATCAAATCTTTTGGCTGCTTTTGTTCTGTTTCCAAAGTAACGTGGGTATTATTCGTCTGATACCTCAGAGGTGCACAGACCTGAAGTAGTAAATCAAAAATTATGTCCACGATATTTTTTAATCGCAGCGTGTTCAGGTCCAAGCTTCAGGTTCAGGTTCACAGGCTGTTCGGGTCCAAGCTATTATGTTTGTTGGCTTGAAAACACTTTGGGTCAAACTTGCTTCTCAACACTTATTTCCTATGGTGGATGATACATTATTTAGACGTACCCATTGCAAACATACCAGAGACTTGGGTTCTTTACTGTACACCTGTTGTAATATGCACCACCACCATCTACATCAATGATCTCAATTCACAGTCCTAAATAGAAACCCCTCCGGGGCCACAGTTACCAAGTGCGGGTTGGACTGGGGGTGGGTACAAGTGTCCGCATTACTATGCAAAGCAAAGGGTTCCTATTTTGGCCCGTACCCCGAATTGTCTCAAAGAGGAGGGCAGATTCAGGCAGTACCGCACACACCCACACACCCACCCACACACACACTCGCCTCCACTTCAAGTTGTGCCTGTGGGGATCTGAACCTCCCCGCCTCAGGCTCGTTTCTATCCTTATAATTATTGCAACTGTTAGAGACCTCCCCGCGCGTCCAAGGAAACCCACAGCAACGGCTCGCCAAGCTGGGCTTGGATCCTTCCTCGCCCGTTGTCAAAAACTCGTCTCCGCCTCGCCAGGAGCGAACGGACTAGAATGGGCTCCTCTCGGGGGGAACGCTGCCAGCCCAGCCCCAGCAGCCACGCCGCGGCTCTGGGGGAGAGACCAAGCCTGCTGCTGGCTGTCATTTAACTGCACCGGGAGGGAGTTCCCTCTCCCTTCTCCCCCTGTCCATCGTTACGGAAGCGGGAGAGCAGGGGGTGGGGGAAGGGCTCTCTGGCAGACTCTGCTCCTTTCGGACAAGCCCACTGGTACCTGTTGGTCAGGGACAGGGACCCAGGGGCTCAGTGCGTTCGGGCCGGAGCGCCTGGCTGCAGGGCAGGGCCCGGGCTGAGGGGGGCTTCCACTGGGGGGCTGGTGCGCTACTCCCCCCCACCCCGCCTGCTGTCCTGGTGGTGCCTGGTCTCGCTCGCCGCTCCGCACCGAAGGTGTCTGGCTAATACACCTCTGAAAAGCAGGAGGGGCCGCTTCCGTATTCCAGCCCAGTGACTGCCAGCTAGGGGAAGCGCTGGAGCTCCCCAGCACCTGCCCGCCCGTGGAGCCGGCTTTACACTGGGAGCTGGGAGTGTCTCCTTGGGTGTTTGGCTTTGGGGTTTTGGAGCAGTGCAAGGGGGATATTCTCCCCCCGGGCTAGAGCTGGGAATACACCAGGAGAGAGAGAATCCAAGCGCTATCCCATCGCCTCATTATTTTTCGGGTGAACGTCCGGCAACATTTACTCCATCCTGCTGCACCTGGTACCTGCTCAGATCATGTCAGCTAAGCTGCTGGTGCTTTTCTTCCTCCTGGCAGTGTTTCAAGCCTGGTAAGTCTGCGCCGTGCAGCCCCTTACAGTGTTTCCTCCCAGGTGCTTCCATGTAATGTTTGGTGCTCATGTCGGAATATCACCCACAGAGTTGGGTGTCCGAGAGACACAGGAGGCTATTCCGCCCCTTTCTCTTGCCCCCATTATCCTCTGCAATATTTGTATTCTGCCTGCTCTGTAGTGTAGCTAAACTAGCTAATTGGTATCAGCTCCCCCCCCCCCCCCATCCCTCCATTCACTGTCAATAGCCGTTACCTCGGACGGGGTTTTGTACTACTCCCGAGCTCAGGATTGTAATTTAAGGCTCGAGAAACTGAGATCCTTAGGCTTCTGCCACGGAGTTGGATAAAATCTCTCGGCTTCACCTGGCTCTGCAAAAAGTTTCCCCATTACTTCGCTTGTCATGGAATTAACCGAGCCCCGAGGGTTGCCAACTGGGATCTCTCTGCAGCTGTACCCACTTACTAGACATGGTGCGGGTCTTTTATGTACTATGCAGCGTGTGGCTAGGTCTGGAGTATCATTCAATTAGGGGTTTAGTCTTCAAAGTACCTGCCTCAAGGATTCAAGAACGCCAAGGAAAGCAGGCGAGGGAAGAACGGGATATTCTGGCTGGAAGCAGGTAAGGTTTGCCCAGGAAAAGGTAACGCAGACAACGACCAAGCCAGTAACCAAAAGGCTAGTGCAAGATTCACTAGTTCTATCACTGCAACGGATGCAAACAGGTCCTCTGAATTTCTTGCGATGGTGATTTCTTCGGCAAGATCAATGCGATTTTTTTGCCTAAATTTCTCCTCTGAGGTTATCCATGGGAAGGTTTTCCGTTGATAATAGTATGAAGGGGTTATGATAATACCTTAATAACCACACAACAGTCCCCCGTGGAAACATCACTATGGAAATATCATCCTGGCAATCCGGAGATTGTGCAGTTTGTAAGTATGCCCCTGCTTAGCCTGTTGGGAGCTGATCTCCAGCAAACCCTTCCTCATAGGAACACCCCTTGTTCACCTGAGTGCCATTCAAATGAAGTGGAGAACTGCAGGAGTAAGAGTTACTCAGGTGAGCAAGTGTTGCAGAATCGGGCTTTTCAAGGAAAGTTCAGGGCATTTAACCACGAGGGAGTTTCTGTCACTAAGGGCTTGATCCTGGGAGTGGCTGATTATTATTAATATAAAATACTTAATGCAACACTTGAAAACGTAGGTGATTGGCCATCTCTTACAACAGAAACCAAAGACTGAGACCTAGGAGGAGAAAAACTGACGAAGAACTCTTCAGGAAACTCTAATGAGGAGAGCTGGGGTAAATACCCTGTCATTTAAATGGCAGGTCTGGTGTGCAATCTGCACCGCGAATACTCTTAGTTTAAACTCCAAAGCCCAGCCCAGTATTTCTCACTGGCTAACTTTCTGTAAGACCATTATGTCTCCTATGGAACAGTTGCTGGGAATGCTGCCAGCGGCATCTCCCCTGAACACAGCACACTGAAGTGTAAAGGCGCAGACACACTGAGAGTTAACTTGCTCGCTTTCTCTCCCACGCACACGCACACACACAAACTGAAATGCTGAATTCCTGATTACGTGGACATTCAGACTTTTTCTTTGTAAACCAAACCCTGGGGTGAGAGTGCGTCTCAGACCCCTTCTCTCACCTCACTATCTGGTACTCATTTCCCGCAGACACAATTTTTCCTCCACCCCCCACAAGCCCATGGTTACCTCATTGTTTATTAAAATCAGCTTTTCATCGCAGATGGCAAGATCTAGAAACTGAGGCTGCAGACAACTTTTCCCCGTTAAAGAAAACACCTTCCTACAGCATTTCAAGCTTCCTTCTCTGTTGTGTTTTTGGGGGTACACCACGGTTTTGTTTCCCTCTCATAATAATAATAAAAAAAGCTAGTGTTACATAATAAGGATTTGGAGGGGCGACAGCCCTGCTTTCCATTTTACAACATACCTAGAAAACAGCCCCTCTTTCTCTGTGGCTGTTGAAAAGTCTTGGAATATGGTTGTCGGCTCCTGGGAGTGGGGACTAAGCAGTTTAGTGATGACAATGCATCCTAAATGCTTAGTTGGAGCCTATTGGGTTAGAAGCACATAAATAAAAGTGCCTCTAAATATATATATATATATATAAAATGCACATCACTGTAGTTAGCATGAATTACTCTGAATATTTTAGTTACCTCTCCCAACCCCCAGTTGCAATCAAGCATCTAGATGCAAACACAAACCTCCGGTATGTAGCTTTCTGGGAAACAATTTACTGGAGGAAGAAGATTTAAAAAAATCTGGCAAGTGTTATATTATTGTTGATTATGAGTTTAAAGAAGCTAATATCTAAATTGTGAACCACTATACAAAATCAATGTGCTAGAATGAACATGGCCCTCATTTACACCCATGCAACTCCACTGAAGGAATCAGGTTGCAAGGATACAGCGCAGGTCAGAATTTGTCCAAATGCCTGGTTTTCATTCATTGTTCGTCCAACAACGCAGATCATTAATTGTTGGACACAAGAAATGTATATCTAAAAATAGTGCATGATTGAGAATGATTCTGAAAATGTTGTATTACAAATATTTGGCTTATCAGGAGTCTCAAAGAAAAAAAAAATCTTAGATTGAGTGATACCAATGAGCAAGAGGAGCTGAAAGTTATAGCTCATGCCCCAGAAAATAAAGTTTCATTATTTAAAATGCTTCCCTCCCCCCCACTCCCAATTTAGTTATATATCTTTCAGGCTTCATCCTACAAGTCTTCCACACATAGAATTCCCAGTGGCTCCATTTAGAAATAATTCTATATAGGCTTCATATGAACAGGGAGAAAACTGCATCCCCCCACCCCCCCAAAAAAAACCACAGCCCTTTACACATATGGTATATTCTTTGAAGGGTTCAGAGAATGGTACCCTGAATAAAATCTTTATTCACTATGATAATTGTGGATATTTTTCTATTTATACATGGTGCCCATCACAGACAGACAATCTAGACATTTAAAAGCATTATAAAAATAATAATCCAATGTCATTATACACACCCCTCCCAAAGTACTCCTGAACCCACCAAAGAAGAAATACAAATAAATTCTAGACCTAACTCAACTCATCCTTTCATAAAAAGCCTGAGCAAAGAGTTAAGACTTGCAATGTGCCCCAGAAGATCAACAAATTGGTACTGAAGGAAGGGGAGAAAGCAAGTTTAAGAGTTTATGGCCTTGTCTATATATGGGGCTTGCACTGATGCAGCTTTATAGATAGCTCTAGTTTGGGGAAATCTTTAGTGTAGATATGGCCTATGCATCTGATTCGCCACTGCTTTGCACCTTGTGTTGTTCTTCACACTTTGCAAAATGGGTGTAAAATTATACCCAATCAGAATGGCATAGGCAACGTAGAAGGCTATGGAGAATCAGGCCCAAGGTTCCATCACTGAGATCATCCTTCTTCCAACTGCATATATGCAACTCTCATGACAGTCTGTGTCCAGATGTTCTCAAATGTGATGGATAAAGTAGATGTGGTCTCTAAGATATTGAAACCCAAACCATAAAAGACTTTAGAGATTGAAGTCAATATTTTGCATTGCACTCAGAAAGGAACTGGTAGGACAGATGAAAATGGATTCCCATGTGTGAAAACAGCATGTATGTTCAGCCACATTCTATGCTAGCCAGGTGTGCTGGAATAATTTTTATAGCAGGGGCGCTGAGAGCCATTAAACCAAACTGTAAACTCGGTATATAATGGAAACCACTTAAAGCCAGGGGGTGCAGCTGCAACCCCCCTCCCCCACTCTTAGGTGCTGGAACTATGGCACTAGCTAAAGTTTCTGGACAATTATTAGTTGTCAACTTATTTTAATGCCTTATTCACATAACAAAGATAATCTACCTCTTGTAGAAAGAAGAATCTTAGCTCCTGAAATGCCCAAAATACAGAACTATAAAAACAGAATGGCTTAGACTCTGAGATTCAAAAAGACTTATGCAACATATTTACGTACTTGTGATAATTCATATTACATTCAAGAAGCATGTACTTAATTCTAACCCTTGTACTGCATTAAGTTCTGAAATTCAAAAAACATTGAGAGTGTAATAATTTATTAATAGGATGAAACGATCAGGAAGTATTAAAAGAGCTGAATTTTTAATATTCTTATTAGCCTGCTGTACAAGAGATGAATCAGTTGTGTTGAAGGAGTCAGTATAATACTGCAGGATGTTCACCCACCATAGAATTCTGTTACCAGTTACCCAGTCACCAGTGAGTTATCAGTTACCTATCAGTTAATCTGTTGATTTTTCAAAAAAGTGATCTAGTCTGCTCCCTGCATTAATCCACAGATTGAAGTTCCAGTGAGAAATCAGTGGTGTGAGATGGATTATATAATTATTTTCAGTTAGTGCCCCCTACACAGACTCTTTTACTTCTGGCAATAAATACCTCCTTTAATAAAATAGTTCTAAAACTAGATAGCTGAGAGAGAATAAAGAACTCAAACTTACTGAAGTGCCTGTTGAGATTTAGTCAATGTAAATTCAGATTTTAGTTACGTAACATAACATTTGATTTTTTTATTGCAGTTCCAGAAAGGTTGAAGAGGATGAATATGAAGATGTAACAGGCAACCAGCAATGGGTATTAGCTCCAAAAACGCAAGACACAGATGCGACTCTCATATTAAACAAGTTGCTGAGGGAATACGACAAAAAGCTACGGCCAGACATTGGAAGTGAGTCCTCTTTTTCTTTCTGTGGAAAAGATACACCATTGTCTAGACAGAAATATTTTGTGTTTCTATTAATGATGAGCTTGATTTGCAAAGTTAAGATCCGGATCCAAACTTTGACAAAGATCAGGAATGTTCAGGCTCAGTTCTAATGTAGTGTGGCAGAGCTCTGACCATGTCTCCGTGGGTCCTGCACTTCTAGGTGGTTTATGCTAGCCTCAGTGGCTCACTGCAACCCTCCACATAGCCCTTCTCTTTCTAGGGCCAGGGTTACAGTCTACTGAGCCCTTTTCATCATAAGCTAGCAAGGAGGTTGGTGAGAGAACTCCCACAGTCTCTGTTGTCCCTAGGGGCTTATTTCAGAACAGTTTAGCCTCCTGTCCTGACAGGGGCCTGTCTTCCCCTCCCAGGAGATGTTTCGGTAGTGGCAGGTTGGGGGGAACCCGGGTCCGCCCTTTACCCTGGTTTCTGCCCCAGGGAACCTAATGGTAGCAGCTGTTGGCAGCCGACCTTTCACTGCCAGAGTTGCTACATTTCCCTGGGCCACTTCCCCACAGCTCTCCCACTTCTCTCTTCTTCACCCTTACCTTAGGGCTCCCTTACCAATGGCTTGAGAGTGTCTTCATTAACCAGCCCTTCAGCCACACTTCCTCTCCTCTGGCTCCTTGGCTCTCTTCAGCCTGACTGGAGTGAGCCCTTTTATAGTATCAAAAGGGCCTTAATTAGAGTCAGGTGTTCACATTACCTTAATGGCCTCACCTGACTCTTTGCAGGTTAATTGGAGTCAGGTGTTCTCATTAGCCTGGAGCAGCCCCTGCTCTGGTCAGTCAGGGAACAGAAAACTGTTAATCCAGTGGCCAGTATATCTGCCTTCTACTACTTTGTTGTACTGCCCCTTCTGTGGCATGAGGGAGACCATGGCACACGTTTACCTAGAGTGTGCCAGGTTGCAGCCCCTATTCCGGCTTGGATATATTATTACATTTTTGGTTGCATTTTTCCCCTCATCTGTTCATTTACGCACTCCCCATCCGAGGCCCCACAAAGTCGTGGGACCTCCTTGTCAACCTCCTCTTGGCCCTGACCAAACTGGCCATTTACAAAACCAGGGAGAGGAGGTTGGCTGACGGGAGTTCCTGCGACTGTGGGGCCTATTTCCGCTCCTCAGTCCATTCACGCATCCGGGCAGAGTTCCTCTGGTTGGCATCTGCTGGCTCCCTTGACGCCTTCGAGGAGCAGTGGGCGCTGTCCGGGGTTCTCTGCTCGGTGTCCCCATTAGGTTTCCTACGTTTAGCCCTTTGACCACACTCCTGTCCCTGTTATTTCATTTGTTTTCCCCCAGAATTACTTTGTTATCCAGGTCCTGTGGATCCTCCCCTTAGGCTGGGGGGAGGTCCTTTGGCAGTGCAGGGAGCCACTTCCTGGCTACAAATAATACTACTTTGTTAGACTTAGGCCAGTTGGGTACAACAAAGTAGGAATTCAATCCTAGCATTTTATAGCAATTTACAAATACTAATTCTCACAGCACCCTTAGGAGGATGCTCAACATGATTAGAGCTGTTTTACAGAGGGGCAGTTTGGCGGACAGAAATATTAAATGGCTTGTCCAGGATTATATGATTGGTCATTGGCAGAGTCAGGAATATATTTATTTCCATTTGAGTACACAAGACAAAAAAGCTCTCTGTGCATCCTGACGAATGATTAAAACAACAGTCCACAAAACCAACAAAAACAGCAACAGAAGCCCAGTGGACTCAGATCCGGCCCCCTTCCAACAGTGCTGTATAACGACATAAGTTCCCTTGCCAAGGGGCCTCCTGCGGCTCAGAAGGAGGGGGCTGGATTTGCCTCTCGGAAGATGAAGGGCAACTTGTGGGGGGTTGCCTAAATCTTCCAATCAGAAACCAGGGGAAATGTCTCCCGGGAGATCAGATGGAATGTGGGAGTCTAGTGGCAATATGGATATATGATAGGAATTGGATTAGATAAGAACCAAACAGATATCTTTCTATAATCAATTCTTTTGACTCACTTGCTCATACAGCAAGATTTTTTTCTTCCATAACAATATCTATGTAGTTCTATCTTCCATTTTACCATCCCTTGTGGTTATGCACACTTTGGTCATAACCTTTGAGAGAGAGAAATGAAGAGTCAATTTAGCTTTTTCATTTCCCTCACTTCATGTATAGGTAGAGGAACAAAAAAAAAAGGTGAGGGAATTAACCTAAAATGCCCAACTGTGCATGCTCTGCTATTGATAGATTTTTACAGAGAGATCAGGGAGATAATCCCTAGCCCTGAGTACAGACAGAACAGAAATGCGGTGACAGCAAGTGTATTTAATGTACCCTCTAGAAGTTCTCTGTTCTGGTCAGTCCTTATTGTTATAACAAGTGCCAACCAGCTAGGCACTAGTATGATTCTAATAAATCTGTCCTATACTAAACATCTCTACATAGGGTTCTTTAATTAGTAATTACAATGATATTTCCATCATGCTGGAAAAGAGCATAACTGATAGAAGTTTGTGCTTTTCCTGTACAGCAACAGTTAATCTTTCCATCTCCCTAATTTGCTAGACTGGTTTCAGCAAATCTTTAATACCCGATGGAATCATGTTCTTCCGAGTTGCAGCAGGAACAAGGTTCCCAGCCATTAGTAACATCTGGAAGAAATGTTGGGACTGATATTTCAGTTTGCTTGGTACAACCTGTCCTCAGATCACTAATTTTGGAGATAAATCATCTCTCCGACACAGACCTGAATGAATAGGATAAATTAGGTATGCTTCTGGGGGGCGAGATAATAATTCAGAATCAGGGAGTGAGCTTCCATAAGATTAGTAGTGGTCATATATTTTCTCCAGCATTGAAAAGGTCATTTAGTGCCCAAATAATTCCCATTATCTTTCCTCCTAAACAGTCACAAATCTTGTTTTTGATAAAGTAGTTGCATTACACAGCATGGGATAAAGCATTTACAGTTCTGGATTCTGTCAATGCAGTTTATGTATAGGGTTCCGATAATTTCAGTCCTACAATGAAGCACTCCCCGACCATTAATTAACTTACCCCCACAACACCCCTGTGATGAAGGGAAGTAATATTGTTATTTTACAGATGAGGCACTTGCCCAAGGTCAAACAAGAAGCCTGAGGGAGGATCAGATAGTGAACCCAAGCCTCCTGCATCCCAGGCCCTTACTGCAATATCACCCCTTCCTCTCCCATAGAGCACAGTCATAGGTGGCTTTACAAAGCCAGAGCATACAAAGCTCCTAATGTCAACGTATGTGAACTAAGGAAAAGAGCTAAGCTAAATTTTCTCTTAAGAGCTTCCAGAGATATAAACGTATTGCTTGAGATAGATTAATGTAGTATATTAATCCTCCTACCTTAACTGTGGTATCTGTCTCATAAAAGGATCGGGGGGGAATGCATTAGACATCCTGGGGCATAAAAGAGAAAGCACACAGTTTGGAATATTAAGAAAAAATTGGAGTTACATAAGATATTGAATATACCACTGGGTCGAATACAATGTTTAGTATCCAAGCAGAAGTTAAACTGATGATAGACACAGAGTTAAATCTGTCCTGGGGTACAACAGACTACTCATCAGGGGCTTTTCATTTGTTCAACATTTCCTATATTTAATGGAGCAGTGGCTACTCACCATTCTATGCAACTTTGCTATGCACTTGGTTATTCCAGTTCTTTACACGGAGGCCAAGATTTTTGATAATGGAAGCCTAAAACTAGGCTCTTAAATAGGTGGCCTGATTGTCAAAAGTACTAAGCACCCGGCAGCTCCCAGGGAAGTTAATGTGAGCTGCTGGTTGTTTGGCACTTTTGAAATTCAGACCATGTCTTTAGGGTCCTATGTAGGTGGAGTTTGGCACCTAAATGTGGGCACCCATATTTGAAATTCTCATTCCAAAAGCAGAGGGAGAAGAGGATTGTGAGTGGAAAAAGGGGTATGTGTGTGTGATCGGCACAGCATAAAGCTCATGCAGTGAAATGATCTATGTTCTTATAGTCTGCCCATGAGATCTGAGGGCCCACATGATATATTTCAGTCACATCACATCCCAGCCAGCCAGGAATAACACCCTGCAGGGGATCTAAATGCACAGGAGGTTCACGCTTCTGGAAAATATGGCAAAGTCACTATCTTTCCAAACCCACCCTCAGAGCTGTGAGACATGACAACAAATCTGCAGGCACTGGGTCTGGGTGAGGGGAAGTGTCTGACTCAAGCATTAGGCAGAGGTGCTACAGGGTGTCACCTCTCTGATGCCTTTAAAGGAGGTATCTAAGTCAAAGGTACCTCTTGGGACTTTATAATCAAAGCAGTATTGTACTAGTGGTACATCTGACCCTAGTCTCCTATGGCTGCACATTTGGGAGAAGTTTTCCCTCCCTAAGCATCACAGCTTCCAAAGATTTGGGTTTTAACTGTTGTATTTGGCAGTTTTCCCATTATGTCACAGAGCAATAATTATTTTCTGAATAGAAAAAAAGAACACACCCTAAATTAACAGTTTATAGCAGAGAACTGATAAAAATGTCTAGCATCTGGGCCACACACTTACTACTAGCCATAGTCATGGGACTAACAATACCTGCTCTGGGGCAAGTTATTGGTGCAAACAGTACCAAACTCAAGGAGCAGGATGCATTGGCTCTTACCTGGAAAGCGCCTCCAGCGTGCTCTGAAGCCTCTCCGACAGCCAGATACTCAAGGGCCTGATCCAAATCCCACTGAAGTCAAAGCAAAGCCTCCCATTTACTGCAGTGGGCTTTGCATCAAGCCCTAATGGCTAGAGTCACAAAGGGACCTAGGCTGCAATACTTCACCCCTCGGTGCCCTACTGCCTAGTGGAATTCCCAGTCCAAGAATTCCCAGAACCTGGGCAGCCAGGTTCCCCAGGCATTGTGTGGGGAGAGCTGGGCCTCTAAAAAAGAATTCACTGAAGCCAGCAAGCTGATTTCT